ATCCCACTGTACATGGGGTCGCCATGAGTTGGGGGCAGACTCAACAGCAGCTAACAACAACCCTGGTTTATTGAGGCCATGGACACGTAGACCCTGTTTACTCTCAAGCCGCCCCTGAACCTGTCCAGAGCGTTTGTGAACTTGTAGTCAGTTTGCTTGCCTTTCCTTGTCTGTTTCTGGTATTTTCTGTTTCTGGTATTGTAATTGCACAGTGATGGGAAGATGATGTCCAGACCTGCTAAATTAGAACCTCTGGAGGAGGAACCCTAGTGGTGCAGTGGTTAAGCATTCTGCTGCTAACCAAAAGGTCAGCAGTTTGAATCCACCAGCTGCTCCTTGGAAACCCTGTGGGGCAGTTCTACTCTGTCCTATAGGGTTGCTGTAAGTCAAAATCAACTCAATGGAAATGTTTTTTTTTTTTTGTTCCGGTGCATCTCATGCCCTGAGATTTGAGAATTGAAGTTTCAGAGGGCTGAGCTTGGCCTCTGTCTCTTAGGGTGTGGCTTATGAGTTGCTTTCAGGTGGATTCCAATTCATGGCGACCCCTTGTGTGCAGAGCAGAACTGTTCCATAGGGTTTTCAAGGCTGTGACCTTTTGGAAGCAGATCGCCAGGCCTGTCGTCCCAGAAGCCTCTAGGTGGGTCCATCAGCTGTAAAGTTCCGGGCCAGGTCTCCCTTACATTTTTCTCCTGTTCCCTGCAGCTCCCCTTCAGGGCTGTGCCCCTAAGAAAGACTGAAGTGTTAACTCGACCAGTGCTCTCTGGCAGTGATGGAGGGTGTCCATGTGTGACTCATGGCTGCTGAAGGGCAGCTCATTTTAATGACTGCAGAGCCAGCTGCAGGTGACATTAGGGACCCAGACTTGACTTACTGGCGTAGATCCCAGGGGACACATTTTATCCAGAGCAGCTGCTTCAGAAGACAGTTCTGCCCTTCTCCCTGAGTCCTAGGAGGCCTTGAAATCCTCTTTCCAGACAGAGCGCCTTCTAAAGCTCACACGTGAGGCACTAAAAGCTGAAAGGCTGACAGGAATTCATGAAGGATGTTTCCAGCCCCCAAGCTCTGTCCTGTGGGAGCAGAGCCACCTCCTGTCGCAGCAGTGCCCCACCCCCTCCTGATGAGGGCTGTGTCAACCCACTTCTGGGCTGCATCTCTTCCTGAGCCTGACAGGAGCAGGTGGGAGGGAGAGCAAAGCCAGTTTGCAGGAGGTGGGAGTCGTGCTTGAGGAACTGTCTTCTGCGGACAAGCACAAGGAAGCCCTTTGGGGACCACAAGGATGACCAGGCCCTGCCCACTCCCCACTGTCTTTGTCTCAGCCTGAACCCCAAGCTCTTCAGGGAGAGTTGCCAGCCCAGAGACCACAGTGGGAGTGGTGGGGAGAGGGGGCTGTGGCTGCAAATCCAGGCTCGCCTCTGTGCTGTAACTGTCGTGGCTGGATACTCATCAGCGCTTCTCCCACCTGCCTTCCTCCTCAGCATCATGATATGACGTGCAAAGAACGCATCCACACCTTTAATTCCAAGTGTCTTATGCTATCCTCAGTCCCACACTGATCTTGGTAGTTGCCAGTACAATTCATTATCATCCCTTTCATTTGTGCCAAGTGGTGTTGGCTGGGCCTTGGTACCCACAAGGACAACATGCACCGCAGCCTGGTCTCCCGGCATCCACGACAGAGGGGAACGTCCCCGATCCAGCGCTGAGGGATTGGGGGTGTGTGGCTGTTGGACTTATTGGAAGGCCAGAACTGTGGACTTGTTTACTACAAGGTTGTGTGGGGTTCTGGTTCTGTATCTGTGAGGCTGATCCCTCCATGCCTGGTCGGGCATTAGCGACATCTGGGGGAAGGTCTGTTTTATGTTTTTAAATAAGTGGATTCCTGGTATCTGCAGTGGCCTAGAAGCGGGGCCCTGGTATCTGCATTTTTATAAACCTCAGTTTTTGAGAATTCTGATGCACAGCTGGTGTGGAGAACTTTTAGGTCCCCTCGACTCTTCTTGTTTTATCAAGAATCTCAGTGTCCACGTATCCTTACCCTTATCTGGTTATGGTGTTCCTGGGTGGTGCAAATGGTTAATGCACTCAGCTGCTAACTGAAAGGTTGGAGGTTTGAGTTCACCCAGAGGCACCTCAGAAGAAAGGCCTGGTGATCTACTTCTGAAAAATCAGCCACTGATAAACCTTATGGAGCACAGTTCTACTCTGACACACACGGGTCGCCATGAGTTGGAATCGGATCGACTCAGCCATCACTGGTTTACCTGGTTATATGTTCAGCCTCTCCTCTCCCCTGGCAGCTTCTCCTCAGCAGATAAACAAGCCTCAGTTTCTCTTATCTCACGCGTACTTTCTGAAAGAGTGATCCTCACCCGTGTCCTGGGATCCATGCCTCAATCAGTTACTCTCTTGTGAAGTCTTTCCTGACAGAACCAAACAGGATTCGTCACACTATTCCTAAATTTAAGTTATCAAGGATTTCATTCTTCTTGGATCCACAATCAACACCCATGGAAGCAGCCGTCAAGAAATCAAACGATGTACTGCATTGAGTAAATCTACTGCAAAAGACTCTTTAAAGTGTTAAAAAAACAAAGATGTCACTTTAATGACTAAGGTGCATCTGACCCAAGCCATGGTATTTTCGATTGTCTCATATACACATGAAAGCTGGACAATGATAAAGGAAGACCAAAGAAGAATTGACACATTCAAATTGTGGTGTCGGTGAAGAATATTGAATATACTATGGACCATCAGACAAACGAATAAATCTGTCTTGGAGGAAGTACAGCCAGAATGCTTCCTAGAAGCAGTGATGGAGAGACTTTGTCTGGCTTACTTTGGACATGTCATCAGGAGGGACCAATTACTGGAGAAGGACATCATGCTTGAGAAAGCAGAGGGTTAGCAAAAAAGACAAAGACCCTCAATGAGATGGATTGATGCAATGGCTGCAAAATGGGTGCAAATATAGCAACAATTGTGAGAACGGGGCAGGAGCAGGCAATGTTTCGTTCTGTTATACATAGGGTCACTATGAGGGGGAGCGGACTCCATGGCACCTAACAAAACAATATCATCCCTACCAGACTCGTGGCAACTCCATGTGTTACAGAGTAGAACTGCTCCATAGAGTTTTCTTGGCTGTAATCTTCACAGAAGCAGATTGCCAGGCCTTTCTTCTGCAGTGCCACTGGGTAGGTTCGAACCACCAACCGTTAGGTTAGTAGCCTAGAGCAAATTGTTTGTGCCACCCAGGGACCTTAAGTTGGAATTGACAGCAACAGGTTTGGTTTTGGTTTGTCCGTAACAGTATGAGCTCCTCAGGGCGGCCTGGGCCAACTCCCCATCACTGTTTGGGCTTTGTATTCCCAAGACCAAGCACTAGCTGGGGCACGTGGTTGGCACTCAGTGGAATAAATCAGAACTAACAGATTGTGGGTGAGTTGTTGTTGTCAGTTGCCATCAAGTTGATTCTGACTCAGGGCGGCCCCATCTGTGCAGAATAGAACTGCTCCATAGACTGTGACCTTTCAGAAATAGATCACCAGGGCTGTCTTCCGAGGCACCTCTGGGTGAGTTTGAATTGCCAACCTTTCAGCTGGTAGTCGAACGCTGAACTGTTCACGCCACCCGGGGACTCTTGTGGTTGGGTACAGCTCTTTATTTAACAGGTAGGGCTCATTTGAAATGATCAACACCTCTTCCTATAAAAACGTGCTAAAATCATTTTGAAAATTAACTGCTAAGTAGATGAAAACAATGTTTTTATATTATAAATTCATTTACTTATCCAGCCCAAGCCCAACATTGTTTCCTAACTAGTGAAATCCAAAGGAATGCAACTAGGGATAATATGTACACATATTATACAATTCAGTATACAAGTAACATGCTTATATTTTATACATGTAACTGATCTATTCAAAAGTCATGCAACTTAGAGTTATCACAAGGATGTCAACGTGGGTAAGAGAGGCATGACCAAAAGTCACTCCCACACCACACAAATGCTAAGGCCATCTCCTCTTATAAATAACACGTGGGCCAGGTCATCTTTTGCTAACATATAAGCCAAAGTCTTTGCCACTGCCATTCATTTTTATAGCCCTTCGTATCTCCAGAGCCTTGAGTCTGCTCTGTCAGCCCTCCTCTGTGGCAAGCAGGCAGATGCTTGAAAAAGCTCATTGGTCTCTAATCAGTTTGAGGCAATTCTGGTGAGATTCTGTCTTTGACATGTGATGGACTAGGTAACCTTCTAACTCTAAGAATCTTCGAGTTGAGGGGCAGAGTTTCCTTACGCACAAAACTTCCATCTACATATTAGGCCGAACCATATGAAATTTCTGCTATTCAGCTGTACTTGACCTGCAAAAAATGGCAATTTCATTTGATTCATCCTGATAAAAACATGGGAGAAACTTGATCACTGTTCCCATTTCCTAGGCCGGAAGACTGAGGTGAAGCCATAGCTACAAAGAGCTAGAGAGTCACAGATCCCACCAAGTCAGGACAGTGCAGGCCAGAGATCAGGGCACCATCTGCTCCAGGACCTTCCATGAAGGACACTGGCCAGGGCAGAGGCAGGAGAGGGCATACGGAGGGTCAAGGATATTTTAAAAATTATTAAGGATGAAATTTCTTTCCTTATTATTATTCCTTTTTAATAATAGTTTATTGTGTTTTCAGTGAAGGTTTACACAGCAGTTTAAGTTGCCCTTCAACAATTTCTCTACAAGTTATTCAGTGTCTTTCCTTATTTTTTAATGTAAGGATGCAATATCCTTTAGATGGAAAAGAACTCTGGCTTCTAAACTAGCCAGATCTGGATTTAAATCTCGCTCTTCCCAACTGCCTTCTGTCATCTTTGCAGGGGGCTGGATGGCTTGTCATGTGACTGCTGTGTTTCCCAAAGGCCCAGGACCGTGCTGGACCCCTGGCAGAACTGTGGCATACCTCTTCCAGGGTGGTATCCTGGCCCCTCCAGTATGGCAAGGAGTCCCTCAGTGGTGCAAATGGTTAACACATTCGACTACTAATCGAAAGGTTGGTGGTTTGAGTCCACCCAGAGGCACCTCAGAAGAAAGGCCTGATAATCTACTTCTGAAATATCAGCCATTGATAAACCCTATGGAGCACAGTTCTACTCTGACACACATGGGGTCACTGTATGATGGAACTGACTCCAGAGTAACTGGTTTGGTTTTTTTTTTTCCAGTACAGCGAGAGCGAGAGGTGGGCCAGGGCCTGAGAAGGGGCTGCTGCTCCAGATGACAGGTGTCAGAGACCAGCTGCTCCTGGCCGAGCTCTCGGAGGCTGGGCAGCTGGGCCCCAAGCCAACACCGGCCACTATGTCTCCCCTCTGCCTCTTACAGGGACGTTCGTCTCGGCCTTCACTGTGCTGTGTGGCGCCCGCACGGACCTCCCGGACAGACACGTGTGCTGCGTCTTCTGGCTGAACATCGCAGCGGCCCTCATCCAGATCCTGACGGCCATCGTGATGGTGGGCTGGATCATGAGCATCTTCTGGGGCATGGACATGGTCATCCTCGCCAGTGAGTAGGGGTTTCACGCCTGGGCCCAGCCGGCATGTGGGCAGAGCAGCGGCGCAGGAGGGGCGGGGCCAGAACGGACTTGCGTGTCTGGGCCCCTGCAGTCCTGCCTATGGGGAGCAGGGCGTAGGCACCTCGCGGGAAGAGCTTCACCTCGGCGAGGTCCTTCTCCTTCCCTAAGCATAGGCACTCTAGAGGGCTTGACTGTGCCCCACTTATAGTGCCCCGTGGCTCCGGGATTAGAAGGCCCACGCCCCACGCCCCACGCTCGCTGGGAATTATGAATCCACGATAGGTAGGCTTTCTCGGCGGGAACTGTTCCGAAGGGCATGATCAAGAGGAGGACGGAGTACCCCACTCAGCTCAAGGCACATCAGTCACTGCATTAGTCAAGGAAGCGACCAGGTCAGCTGACAAGATGAGTCAGCAATGGCGTAGCCCAAGCAGGTTCAGGCCCTGTGTGCCAACCGTTCTCTGTCTCCATCATGTAGTTTCCAGAGAAAAGGAAAAAGCCAGCCAGTGCATTTACCCCAGGCAACCGTAGAACTGTGCTTTTTACAGTCAAGAGAGAGTAATTTCTCCTTCTTTTAAACTTAGCTCTTTGTTAGTTGACACGAAAGCTCTATTATTCCTGATTTGTGTTGAGTAGAAACTCTTCCATCACTTAATACAAACTGAAGTCAGACACAAAACTGCTTTATGAAAGGGCTTAAAGTTGCAAAATCAAATTTACCAAAAACAATAACATTTTTTAGATAGCCTAACAAAAATTTAGAATACATTCCACGTGTGCTGTAAGGAACCATACGTGTGTCCCTGAACCATCATACATGTCCTGGCCACGTCATTAGCCGCAGGTCCCTTAATAACCAGGACCACACCTCCTTCAGGTGCTTTGCCCTCTCTCCACATGCCATCCCCACCGCATGCCCATCACTGTGTCCTACACCCAATAAAACCATTCATAGGTGGGATTGTCAGTGCTATAAGGGAAGCTGTGCCAGGTAAGGACACCAGAGCCAGGAGGGGAAGCCTGGAGTTCAGGGGGCTCTAGAAAGATCTAGAATGATCTGAGGCTGACTCCTGTGAGCATCCAAGACCCAGGGCATGCAGAGATGCGAAGGCCAGGCAAGGCCACTGCCAGTGACCATTTGAGGGCTGGAGAGCATGCAGCTAGCAGAGCCTGAGCTAGATCCACCTGAGCCAGTGGACGGGTCAGGCAGGCTGCCAGGAAGTAGGTCCTCAAGGAGCACAAGTCAGGGGAGGAAGTATGCCGGGCCGGGTAGCCTGGGTGCCCCAGAGTTAGAACTCAGAGCAGAGCCCAGGGCAGCCTGAGAAGGGGCGGTGGTGGGGTGGGGGAGGTGGGCTGGCTCTAGAGAGGAATAAGCCAGGGGAGCAGACAGGAGAGCGGGCCTCTGCCCCAGCTACTTTCTGCTGGGAGACAGCCTCAGGAGGACATCGGGAAGTGAGTGGCAGAGCAGGCAGAGGTCAAGACTGGCCATACAGGTCCCTCATGGGAGCCTCACCCTATAGGCATGTCCAGAGACTTCTTACATTTGGGGGAGGGGTGCAGGACATTGCCGGTAGGGAAGAAGTACTGCCCGCCCTCCAGTGAGTCCTGAAAAGCTAAGGTCGGACAATTTCCCAGGAGTTAGGGGCTTCTCTAGGGCCTGTGGGCAGGGGCGGATTAACCAGTAAGCAAGGTATGCACAGGCTTATAGTAAGCAAGGTACGCATAGAGTTAATTGTGTTTACTTAATAATCTGTAGTGCACAATTTCACATCTTTGATGTGAGGAAAAACAGGTGAAATTGTGCACTACAGATTAGTAAGTATGCACAAGTAAGCCTGTGCGTACCCTGTTTATTGGGTTATGGTTCCTGCCTGTGGGGTGGCCTGCCCACTCCGGACCCTGTGCCCACCTGAACCTAGAAGGGGCATCTGCTCTCGGAAGTGCTCTCAGCAGGAGGCGGAGGGCCTGTGACTGCTGCCCCGTCTGTCCAAATGTGCCCCAACCCCACTCTTGCTGCTTCACCTCCTTATCAAACCCAGTTTCTGTCCAGGTACTTGGGCACTTTGTTTGGGAACCTTTCCATTAAAGTGCAACTAGTCATACCTGTGCCCCAGAGTAGGTCTCAATAATTGTGTGTTGGTGCCTAATCCAACCTCTAGAGCTTTCTGGCATACTTGCCTTTGGCCATTCGTAATAACCAGGAACCAAGGATAGGACCTGGGAGATAATGTAAAGAGATCCTCTCGTCATGTCCTAGATGAAGACACAGAGGCCCCCAGAAGTCCAGGTGGGAGCCTCACTTACCATCACTTCAGGTTGTTGACTCTGACAGAAGTTTCTCTTCAGTGGCTGGTGTGTGGGACGGTAACTAGGCAACTGCGTCAGGGTGCAGAATAGTCAAGTGCAAGACCCCCACTCTCAGCCTTGCCGCCCTCTTCCCCACCCTACAAGCTTTCACTGTGGGCCAGAGCCAGCTCCTTGGATGTCTGCTGGTTCCAGGGATGCTGTTTTTGCGTCAACCGTTTTAGAAGGCTTTTGAGGCGATGGACTTGAGGGCTGCACAAAAAGATCCAGTCACACCTCATGGTTAACCACATGGCCCTTATCTGGCCTGACCACCAGACTCCTTCACCAATGTCAGTAAGGGAAGACTTTGCACTTTTTCTAAAAATTAAACCCACCCTCAAAAGATGAAGAGTTGCCACTCTTGGGACTATGCATTAGACTGGGATTGCTCTGGGCAATAATGGAGCACGTGTGTCCCAGGATGACAGCTTAAGGGAATAATCACAATTAACTTGTCTGTCCCAGCAGACAACTGGATAAAAGGCTGTTCCTTCTGGTGTCATTCCAGCCCTTTCCTGTAAAAATGAAGGAAACGTTCCCGTTGTTAAAATACAGAATGATTTTTGCATGGCATTGTCCAGGGCGTCATCAACAAACACACTATTAAGAAAAAGTCTTAAGAGGGAAATTAGAGAAATATAAATCAAAATAGGGAGTTAAAATCAGGAATTTACAAGCACGCTGTTCTATTTATATTAATCATAACAATCAACAACAGCCTGTCTTGGCCATGGATTGAGAAATACTTGATAACTGTATGGAACCAGTTGCTGGTGAATTGATTCCGACTCTTGGCAACCCCACGTGTACAGAGTAGAACTGCTCCATAGCGTTTCCAAGGCTGTGATCTTTCAGAAGCAGATTGCCAGCCTTTCTTCTGAGGCACCTCTGGGTGGGTTCGAACAGCCAACCTTTTGATTACTAGTTGAACACTTAACCAATTGCACCACCCAGGGACTCCAGCTCTGTGGTAACCTCTGCCTATTGCCACACTCATGGCAGACATTGCTAATCAATCATGGCACTCTTGGGCAATCTCATATTTTCTCAGCACAGGGCTTCAGGCAGTTACTACCAATTGATCAAAGACATCTGCAAGATAAGACCTGTTTGTCATCCTGAGTCCCGGGTCTTTCCCAAAGCATTAGGTTTTATACATGTGGCTCTTGTTCACATGAAGGGCTAGCCACATGGCCCAGACAGATGGGGTGGGGCCAGGACGGGTCACTTCAGCATCTTCAAGTTGTCACAGCTAAACCTATCCTACAGTGCTTCCTCCTCTGGTCCATCCTAAATTCATCTGGGGACAAACATGGGCTGGGGGTGGAAAAGAATGAGGGGCAGGAGGAGAGTAGACGCTTGGGCTTGCCTGAGACACGGAGTGCTGGGTAGGCGTTGGAGAGAGCTTGTTGACAGCGTATCGATCACTGGGGTGAGCCCTCCCTGGGTGCACCTCTCCAGCCCAGCTGCAGACCTGCACGCTGGAGGGGCTCGGGACACTAGTGGGGCTGGCTGGTGGCCACAATGGTTGGTCACTGTGATGGTCACTGTAATGACTCTGAGATCCCCTTGGGCCCTCCCTCTTATATTTCCAGTGTTCCCCATGGCCACTGGTTTCAGACTGCATTCTTTCTTTTCCTTTTTCTCTTCTTCCTCACGCTGCCTCACATCCTTGTGATGCTCCACAGTTTCCCAAGGTGAGTCTGCTGAATGGATGCAGGGCCTGTGCCTGGGGCTACCTGGGCCCCCCTTCACTGCAGCCCCCACACCTACCCATAACACCCCACTCTCCCAGTAGGTCAGCGGGAGTTACATTTAACATTTTATTATGAAAAGTGTTAAAACAGACAAAAGTATAATCAACCAGTTGCTGTGGAGTCAGTTCTGACTCATGGTGACCCCATGTGTGTCAGAGTAGAACTGTGCTCCATAGGGTTTTCAATGGCTGGCTTTTCAGAAGTAGATTGCCAGGCCTTTCTTCTGAGGAGCCTCTGGGTGGACTCAAATCTCCAACCTTTTGGTTAGTAACTGTGTGTGTTACCATTTACATCACTCAGGGACTTTGAGCCTAGTATAGTTAAGTCCCTAAATACCCACCCTAGCTCCAAGAATGACCTGCTCATGGCCCCCTTGTTTCTTCTATTACTCCCTACATCCTCCATA